TTCAATTTATATACCGCTTTTAGATGATGTAATTGAAGATCTCAAATTTCGTTTCAGTTCAGAATTGTTTACAATCCTTGATATTACTAATTTAATTCCTTTTAATATACTTAAAAAAGAAGATATTGATTATGAAACTATAAAAAAGAACATAGGTAAATATTTGTCACAGTTTACTAATGAAAATAATGAAATGATATCAGCTACTTTAGGCACCGAGATAGAATTATGGAAACTTAAATGGACTAATTTCAGTGGTGAGAACATTCCGGATTCAGCAATAGAATCCTTACATTTGTGCTAGCAGGACATTTATCCAAGAATATATTTAGCTTTAACAATTTTGAGTGTATTGCCAGTAAGTGTGGCAACATCAGAAAGAAGTTTTTCCTCCTTGAAACGGCTTAAGAAAGGCTTGTGGGATTGGCACTGATGCATATAAATAGAGAAATAAAAATATCCCCTGACGCTGTTCTTGATAGGTTTGCTAGCTTACAAAAAAGGCATTTAAATTTAATTGTTTAGTTTTTTGTTTATAGTTTGTTATTTGTTTAGTGATACTATACATAATATAATACCATACCTAGGATTAATAGGTTGTTAAGATTTCTCAATAATTAAGTTTTTTTATTAAGCCAAGATAAAATTCCCAGGACTCTTTAAAATTTGCCTTCGTGTTATGTTCGTGAATGTTAGCACCTAGTACAAACGTCATGTTTTTGATTATTTTTAGTATGCATTAAGATCTTTCTGTGTTTTTTTAATAATGTTTATATTGGTATAAACAATTTAAATTTTATTAAATAATCACCATGTTACCTATTTGCTATAAATTATTTACCAAAATTTTACTTACTCTGGATTTTTGTAGTAGTTTATATCTACAAAAAAAATCAGGCTAATTCGAATTAGTTCGAGTTTTACCAAAAAAAAGTTTTGCCTACTGAGTCACTCCTTTACAAAATCTTAACGGACGGAACTTTAATGGTTCAGTAGGATCCCCAGGCTACCAGTTAGAATGATTTTGCATACTTCTACGCGTTTTTCGGGATGGTCACCCATATCCGGCGTCCCGTACTGCTTCGCAACCGAACCCGCGTGTTTCTATTTCCGGGGACGCCGGGTGGCCCCAGGGAACGCACTTCCTCCAGGAGTGTGGCGCCCAGGGCCCAGTCGTAGCGGAGATCCTGTCCGCTATCTCCGCTCTGCTTAACTTAAGAGCCGTTGCACACACGCCGGAACCGGATAGACGGCGCCGGACAAGAATCGGATTCGTGCCGGGTTGTCACCGGATACCACCACTGCCAGCACGGTGGCCGGACGGCGCGCCGTCCGGTCCGAACTCGTAGCAGTACGTTGTTTTAGATTGACGCTTTCACACTTGTCCGTCCTAGTCGCCCGGTTTAGTTCATATGAGAGAGACTTTGCGTTTCGCATTATTAGAAATTTGTAAAATTTGTACGTTGTAAGTTAACTATAGCGACGGCAAGTGGTGTTTTGGAAGTAGATACTAAGTTTTTAATACCACTTTTTGAAGCCAGACCAGTCCACTGGCATAAAACCTTGTATTTATAAAAATACATAAACGAAACAAGTACGGAGTACGAATACAAGTATGGAGATAAATTTGCACCAAACTGGAAGATGATTTTCCTTGCTTTTCTTTTTTAATAACGACAGCGACGATTCAAAACCACAAAACAATAATATGTTCATGTTCTATACCGTCTCGTCGGCGTCGCGATCAAAAATGCAATTGTACTAGCTCAAACCTGGTGTAAAATCGGACTAGTGTGAAAGGTCATAGCACAGAATATGCAACTACGCAACAGAAGCCTCGTTACATGTATAAAATTGTAGGTATCAAAAGGAGACAGGCTTTAAAAGCCTGTCTCCAAATCAGATATTTTGGTGCGGTAGTTTCGCTACTACATAATAGAGGGCGATAAACTTAAAAGAAAATAGTTTTCTACAAACGAAATTTAAAAGAATTTTGTGCAGTGTTGCCATTGTGTAATTCATATTGTAATACTTTCTGATAAATCCTACCTTCAAATTTGCTACATCATTTAAACATATTAAAATAGATCAGTGCTCTTTTTTCAAACGTTTAGTCAGGTTTAAGTACGTATTTAACTTACCATATTAGTTGGGGTTAAATCTTTCGAGCTGAATTACAATCAGTTCCTGACGTTTGATTGTAATTGAATCCTGAATTTTGATTGTAATTCGGCGACAATATAATAAGTATTGTTCTACTATTATGATACCACTTCCTGACGTTCAATTGTGTTCATACTTTATACCGCATAATCGGGAAAAAATGGCGTTAGCGATAGCTATGAAATGAAGATCGCTGTCATTTTATATGGGAAATAGTATACTATAATATAGTACCATATTACGATACATGGGGTTCGATTGAGCTTAAACTTGGTATTCTACTTATCTTTAGTAACATTGTAATATTATGGTTCCATGGAGCATATAAAGTGGTACCTTCTATAGTATTACATTATGATACCACTTCCTGACGTTCGATTGGGCTCGTATTTGATATATACTTGCATATTTTTGATGACATTGCAATATTATGGTACCATGAAGCCATGAAGCATATCAAGTGGTACCATACTATAATATAGCACCATATTAGATACATGGCGGTTCATATAGGGCTTAAACTTGGTATACTACGTATCTCCGGTGACATTGTAATATAATGGTACTATGATGCATGTAAAGTGGTACCTTCTATATAGTACCATATTATGATACCACTTCTTGACGTTCGATTGAGCTCATATATTTAATTTCGTATTTTTGATGACATATTGCAATATTATGATACCATGAACCATATCAAGTGGTACCATAATATAGTACCATATTACGTACATGGCGGTCGATTGGGCTTAAACTTGGTATACTACGTATCTTCGGTGACATTGTAATATGATAGAACTATGATGCATATAAAGTGGTACCTTCTATCGTACTATATTATGATACCAATTCCTGACGTTCGATTAAGCTCATATTTGACATATAATTTCGTATTTTTGATGACATTGCAATAGGGTAACGAATATAGTTATTGGCCACTTAAGGATTTTAGTGACGTATTTTTCAGTTTGTTCTGAAATTATTAGACCACGAATAATGCAGTATTTTTTTCTCAAATAATCACATATTCAAACATTAGGAACAAAATTTTATTTTGCAACTTTAATCCTCTAAATAATATAAAAATACAGTTTTTTGCAAACATACAAAAAGTTCAGTTATTGGCCACAAAGTTACAGTCGTTGGCCTACCCATATATGAGTAATTGGCCATCACAAAAACAGAGTTTAGCCGAACAAAATTAGATATGTTTTTCTAAAACCGAGCGCAAAGTTACTACTTTACACACTTATTTGCATGTACAAAGTTACTTTGCGCACGCTTTTGTACATTATCGTAAAAAATCCTAAATAATTTATTGGGAAAATACTTTATTGCAACAGCATCAAACAAAAACGTTTTTGAAAATGGGAGATTTAGTACTTAATACCTAATTGTGGAAAGTATGCAAAGTGTCTTTCCCACACTCAAAGCTTACTACTGCTTTTGCCTATGGGAAAGGATCACTTCGCACACTTGTTAAGAAAAACTATTTTTAGCTTTACAGCTATTGCATACAAACTTTTCATTATTTTCTGATTGTTGAGATTTGTCAATACAAGCAAGATGATAGGTTCTTGTACAAAAATTGCATTTTTTCCTGATTTTAAAACCGTGATATTCATAATACATGCATAGCATAACCCAGTGGAAACTTCGTTCGCATGCTTGCTACTTGCCTTTATAGTAACATCAGAAATAATAAACACCTTGGAGTTAGGAGTCTCATTTTCTTTTTCTGAAAATAGCTTTCGTTTAGTTGAATTTGGCAAATTTCTAGTCAATGATGAATGGCTTGACGATGGCAGCTGAAAACTATTTTCAAAAAAAATGTTTTTCGACCCTGAAAACCTTTCATTTTTCAAGGTAGATCTAGTATCAGGTGAATCAATAACACTTGTAGAAGTATTTGTACAGCTTCTGAAATCATTTAAATGATCTTCATTTTCCGGTTTTTGGGTTGAATATTTTTCAGCATCTCTAACGTTTGTCCCACCATCACATCGGCTACTATTGAAAATACGTTTGGCCCTAGAAAAAATGTCCCCACTAAATGGACAATTCGTGGATTCCATGTTAGGCGCTTTGATTTCTTGAATGCACTTTTTCTCCGGCAGATGCACTAAGTCCTCTTTTTAAAATTATACTATTTATTTCATCAACTTTTGGAATTATTTTTGTTTCTGCGTCTTCCCTATGATATTTTATTTCTTTAGCTTTAGGTATATTTGTTTTTGTTTTATTATTTTTATGTGCAATTTTATTGTTTTTTGTTTCTATTCTTTTCTGTTTCCTTTCTTCTTTCAATAATTCTTTCTCTATTTTTTCCTGTATTTTACGTTTTTCTGCGTTCTGCCGATCTGAGGAAGTAAGCACAAACGGAAGTCTTTCAGTTTGTTTTTTACCTTTACGTTCTGGGGTCCTCGGCCAATAGAAGAACTTGTCAATAGAGGATTTCTCTCTCTCTTCGGTGTGCCTATTTACGAATTCCTTTTGTCCAGAATTTGGCCCATCAAGTGATTCTATTTGCGTTGGAGATGAATAGTTATAGGAAGTGGAGGGAAAATTAGGTGGTGAACTAATGTTTATAATAGGAATGTCTTCTATGTTATATGTGCTTAACTCAAAATCTGAAGAAGCTTTACGGTTGCATGAAGAAAGCCTAGGAGATCATATATTAGTATTGTCCGTCACGAGATGTTCTATTTCGAATGTAGTTAACCGTTCTAAAGTATTTGGGTTATCAGATGAAGAAGGAATATGATCAGCATGATCATTATTCTCCTTTTTGGCAAAGGGAATATATTCTTCATTTTGGTATACTTTGGACCATATTACGATACCAAACGTAAGTCAGATGATCTGACGTACGAATTGAGATATCTGACACTATGAACTGAATTAGATATTGCATCATTTGGCTTATTTTTGAATAACTGGAACATATTATATAAAATTTGTGCTTCTTCATTTAGATCTTCACATGCATTATTTTGGAACATCTTTATTTTCTCAGTCCCAACTAATTTCTCAAAGTCAGCATAGGTTATGGATACTTCTTGAGAAACACTTTCTTTAATTCGGCTGTTGTTCTTTCCCAAATATTTGGAATAATCAATTGCTGACGGGTTCCAAGGATATAACCCAGTTGTTTTAAAACCATTGATTATAGAAACTGACTTTAAAGAGCTAATGGCACTGTTTAATACTAAAGCAAAGTTTTCCTTGGTTACCACAGAATTTGGATTTTCCCTTCTGAAGTTCAAAACTGCTTTGTTCCAACCAATTTTTAAGGATTTGAACGCCGCAACGTCTGCGGGCTGCATTATTCTTGTGGCGTTTGGGTAGAGAGCCACTAATATTATTTTCAACTTTGAACATAATTCGCTAGTTTGAAGGGTCATATGAGTTGTATGCCCATCAACGAACAAAATTATAGGAAATTTGATATTTTTAGCAACTAAATGTTTATAATAAACGTTTCCTATATGTTCAAAAAAAATTTCATTTTTCATCCACCCTGAGTTGCTACAACCTATTCCCCACTCAGCGGGTACCGACTTTACAACGCTTGATGGTAATCTCTTATACGGATAAATTACCATTGGCGGTGTAATGTCGCCAGATGCAGCAAACGTAAACATTACTGTTAAATTAACTTTCGAGTGATGTTTAATTTCGTAAACATTTTTGCTTCCCCTCACAGCTAACACTCTCTTATTTTTCGGAGATAGGTAAAAACACGTTTCATCGCCATTAAAAATACGTGATGGATCTTTAAGAATGTCATAGTAACCTTTTTGATCTAAGTATTGTTCTACACCACTAAACCATTTCCGAATATCTTTTTCGGAAATATTAGAACTTGCCGCAGTAATCGCTTCTGGAGTCCTTAGCGTTACTTCTGGATTTCTCTTTAAAAAGCTCCTGTACCACCCTTTCCCAGGCATATTGTCTATGAATGGATTCTCACGGGGATAAGCATCCAAAAATCCCTTGACTGAATGCTGTACATCTTCTATCCTCAGAGGAAAACCTTTTTTCTGACATGCACAAATCCAGTCTTTAAGTCGAGTTTCCTCGTCCAACGAAAGAATAGGATTTGGACCACGAGTGGTTTTATCATGAAAATTTTCACTCGCCCTAAACTGTAGGGTAGCTCTTGGAACCTTAAATTGCAGGGCTGCTTTCCTCTGGCTCGTCCCATTGTTAATTGCTGTAAGGGCTTTCTGTACATCATCTTCCGTGTATTTTTGACTAGGCGTTTTAGTTTTACTTGCAGGAGACATTTGAATCTAAAAAAAACGACTTACAACCTTGGGGATAAAAGAAAAAACGCAAAGGGCTCTAAAAAACCATATAGGTCTAGTAGTTGGCCACCCTAAAATCTAGTTATTGGCCACCGGCCAACTACTGGTTAAACATTTGAAAATACATAGAAAACTCTATAAAATGTTTAATTGCCGCTCAAAAATGCTAAAGGACATAAAATTTCCTAAAAATATTATCCTACACTTGGCACTAGTAGTTGGCCATGACGGCCAGTAACTATATAGGGGACAAATTATTGTACCAGATGCTGGCCACCACGAAAATGCCGCGAAAAATTCTAACCTAGCATTAAAAACACCCTAAAAGGTGTGAAATAATACAATAAGATGCCTTAAAATATAATTTTGAAACGATACAATAAGAAAGTAAAGCATAGCCACTTCCCATAATACCACAGATTCTTAAGGAATTCTTAATATTTCTGGATAAACCGATGCAACTTCGGACGAACAAAATTACACCTGCTACAAATTTTCTGTGACGCTAACTAGAAGTGTCATAACCGGTACGAACATAAAGCAAGATTGCCTGATTTTACTTCAAATAATGGCACTTTGGTTTTACCGCCAGGACTCTTATTATTTCAAATTAAATTCAAATTGGCCAATAACTAGTACCTGGCCAATGACTGTATCCGTTACCCTATTAGGATACCATGAACCATATCAAGTGGTACCATAATATAGTACCATATTACGTACATGGCGTTCAATTAGGCTTAAACTTGGCATTCTACGTATCTTCGGTGACATTGTAATATTATGGTACCATGGAGCATATAAAGTGGTACCTTCTATATTACTACATTATGATACCACTTCCTGACGTTCGATTGGGCTCGTATTTGATATATACTTGCGTATGTTTGATAACATTGCAATATTATGGTACCGTGAAGCATATCAAGAGGTACCATAATGTAGGACCATATTACGATACCATTTCCTGGCGATCGATTGGGCTTTAACTTGTTATACTACGGATCTTCGGTAAATTTGCAAT